TAGATAGATAGATAGATAGATAGATAGAGGGCCGGGGAGATGGCTCAGGGGAATAAGTGCTCCCTGGCAAGTACAAGGGCCTGAGTTCAATCCCCGGTTCTGGAAAAAAAGAAAAAAAAAGAAAAGAAAAGAAAAGAAAGAAAGAAAAAGATAGATAAATATAGAATTTCACCCTAAGAGGTTATCATCAAAGTCTCCACCAGCAGCCAGTGGCTTGCTGGTACCTGCTGCCCATCTTCCTGGCTGCCTGTCTGTTCTGAGCCCAGCTGAGCAGTGGGTGGTGGGAATGGAGGATGAGCTGTCCCCATGGAGAAGGTGGCAGAGCCCTTTGGCTAGGCAGGGGCAGGGACTGAGTATAAATAGCCCCTGGCTCAACTGGGAAGGCCTGGCAGGTGTCTACCCTCCCCCTCACCAGCTGCCAGTGCCATGCAGGTCCCTACCTCCTTTGGGAGTTTGCCTATCGTCTGAGATCTTCACATAGGAACTTCCTCAGCGGAACCAAGAAGTCTTGTCCTGTGTGTAGGTGGAACCTCCGGATGCCTGGAGCTTGGGGGTGAGCACATCAGGCCAGCCTTTATGGGGGAACCTTCCGTTATTCCTTGCTTTGAGCATCAGCAAGTACTTATCATGGGCCTGGCTCTGTGGAAGGCCAAGTAAGCTGGTGTGTGTGTGTGTGTGTGTGTGTGTGTGTGTGTGTGTGTGTTACTGAGGAAGGTTTGGGAGAGGAGGGGGAGACATTCCCCCATCCTTGGGTACCTACATTCACCTAGCCCAATAGTATTAGAAACAAACCACTTGGGTACTCTGTGATGGGAAGGTTTGCACAAGGCACAGGAAGCATACAAAGAGAGGAGAGGTTCCTTCCAGCTGGGTGCCCATCAGGTTGTGGAGGATGTACATTCCACCACGTACGAGCAGGAGCTCGGATCAAGGGTGGCAGGGCACGTCGGGGGAAGCAGCTATCCTGCAGAAGTCAACCCTCGGCCACAGCCTCCTTAGCAGCAGCACCAGCCTTGGAGCTGGGCCCCCACCCCAGAGACCTTGCTAATTACCAGCAGGATGTCCAGATCTAAGCTGAAACTGTGGAATGGCGCATACTGGAAATGTCCTTCTGCCCTCCCCTTTGGGTTACATGCTGCCAGATCACAAATGTCTTGTTCCCCAGCCCTGTTAGGCCAGAGCTGCCAGGGCAGAGGTCTTTGCTCTGAGCAGAGGAATCATTCCCAGTGTTGTGGAGGAAGAACTCTCAGAGTTCTGAAGTGTTCTATCAGAAATGCAAGGGTGAGAGGAATGAGGCTGGCCACAAAAGCAGAGGACAGTGCTGGGCACAGCCCCTGCCCCATGGATGCTGCAGTTGACTACCGTTTCTCAAGGGCTTCCCTTAGGTCAGGCTCCTGGAATTATTCTATTCCTCTTCCCATTATGTCAGTTTCACAGATGAAGACACTGGGGATGAAGAGGTCGAGGAAAGTATTGAGATCGGTGACCTGGATGCAGGCCACCTCCTGGCTCCTTGGTGCTCCTGGGCAGGAGGAGGGAGACTGTACTGCATGCACCGGGTGGAGCTAGCTCAGAATGGGAGCTCCTGGGTGGTGCTAGCTGAGCTGTGCAGACTCAGCGCCGTGCCCAGCTTCCCATCTACTGCCTGCCAGGAGGGCAGTTGGCAGGACAGAGCTGCCCAGACCGGTCGCAGGCATGAGGCTGGGTTTGAGCCCTAGCTCAGGGAGAAGGTATGGGAGGCAGCCTGAGCTGGGCAGGTGGCTCAGCTCCACACTGACAGCCCACAGACCCAGGCAGGCTGCTTAGCCCCCTGGCCTCAGGGTCCTTGTCTGTGGAATGGGATAGTGATGATGATGATGTTGAGGTTCCAGCCCCCCAGACCTGCTCTGAGGACAACACGAGGTGACAGCAGCCAGAAGCACACCAGTAAATGCTGAGTATCTTATCATCACATTAGTCTGCTCTGTGCTGCAGGGCCCTGCCAAGCAGTGCTTGTCCTCTGGACTCACTGGGTCTCTCTCACTCAGACCTGAAGCTGTGTCCAGCCCTTGGGGGCCCAGATGGGCAGTACCAACAAGGCAGGGGATGGCTGAGGAAGATTAGGTCTCCATGAGTGACTCAGTAGCTCTGGCTAAATTGTCTTTAAAATAAGGTTCTATTAAAGACCCTACTATGTGCCAGGTCATCAATGGGGCTTAGCTGAGCACAAAAGAAGCCATAATTAGCTACTGCCAGCAAGAATAGTGATAAGTGAGAACTTTGGGCCACTCTTGTGCTCGCTTCGGCAGCACTTATACTAAAATTGGGCCTCTCTTCCTACCTTTGAAATTGGCCCAATGCTCAGGTAAGGTGTAGCATTCCTGTAATCCCAGCACTCTAGAGGCTGAGGCAGGAGAATCACCGTGAGTCTGAGGCCAGCCTGGGCCACATAGTGAGTTCAAGGCCAGCCTGAACCCCAAAGCAAGACCTGTCTCCAATCAATCAATCTATCTATCAATCCATTTATTTTATTTATTTGCGGAACCGGGGATTGAATTTGGGCCACTGCGATTGCCAGGCAAGTGCTTATTCCACTGAGCCATCTCCCCGGCCCCTATCAATCCATTTAAAAAGGGGGTTCAGTCAGTGCTTCAGATCTGGAAATATTTCATAAATGTCACCATCCAAACTTTCAGGTCTGGTGCCCCAATCCCTCCTCCCTGGCAACTGGGAGCAGAGGCAGCCCAGGGGGCTGCACACTGCCTAGAAAGCGCCACACCTCGGAGCCTGCAGTTGATCAGGCGCAAGCCAGAGTGTGGGAGGAGGATGGAAGGGAAGTAGCACAGTGTGCTCTCGTCTGCCATAGCCTGGTACTGAAAGCCTTGGGTAGGCCGATGTACTGTGCAAGCCCCAGATTTCTTGGCTAGAGGATGAGGGATGTTGTCCATATTCAAGTTGGTACAGTGTGCTGTAATGTGGCAGGTGGCAAGAGTGGACGCATGGTGGATGTTTTGTCCATCCCCGTTCCCAGCCAGGAAGGTATATGTGGCTTTCTTCTGACCCAGCCCTGGGCTCTTCTCCTGGGAGCCCTTTCCAGAGCTCTCCTTGTTATTTTGCATGGGCAGCTTGACGTGGGCCAGTCCTAGACCAAAGTCTTGGTCATGCTGGACACAGGAAGAGAGCTGGGTCCCCCCGAGTTCCTGCTCATACTGCCATCATGGGGCTGATCACAACTGGCTTGGAACCCCACTGAGAGCCACAAGGCATTTTCTCGGCTTCTCCCACAAAGCGTCATTTCTGTTTTTCCTGTGCTGGGGAAGGAAAGGAAAGCTAGAAATTCCCGCACTGCTTCGGTTTTCTAATATATTCAGCTTCCTACACCCTCTATAAGAACTTTCCTTCTGTGGACTCGACTGATTGAAAAACGGGCAGAAGGATGGATGGCTCGACCAAAGTCACACTGTGTTGGCTGGGGACAGTGACCACTGGGGTCTTACTCCTGACCTTGATTTAAACTTGAAACACAGCTGCGCTCCAAGAACAAAGGTGGCACTCTAGGGGCCGGAGAGATAGCTCAGTTGAATAAGTGCAAGGGCCTGAGTTCAATCCCTGGCTGTTAAAAAAAAAAAAAGGTAGCACTCTAGAAACTTGTAGGGTGCTGGCCTGGCATGACCAAGGCCATGGGTTCAACCTCCAGCACTGCAAAAATAAATACATAAACTAGAAACTTCTGGGGAATTGTAGAGAGACGGAGGCCCTGGTGCCGAGGTCCTGGTACCATTGATTTCCAGGGAAGATGCTAGGAAGCTGGGGGTCGAGCACGCAGTGTTATGGGAAAGAAACAGAGGGCCATTTCTATGGTGGTGTGCATGTGTGTCTGAGATTCTGTTCTTTTCTGAGACGGAGTGGAGGTCAAACCAGCCTCTGAAGGCTAGGGTTGGAACTAAGTGGCAGAGCTCTTGCCTTGCATGCAAGAGGCCCTGGGTTCGATCCCTATCACCACATAAAATCAAAACCCAAAACCCTGTCTTTGTTGCCTTCCTCCCTTTAGGTCACTGCAGCCTCCACGAGGCCCCTTGAATCCTGGACTCCATAGATCTCCTGTCCCCATCCTTTGTTGTAGGCAGCTGAGTTAGACAGAAATACTACAGGCTGTTGGACAGGGCCAGGCCCTCAAGGAGGCATCATGAAAGACAAGATATCTTGCAACTGTGAGAGGGACTGGTGCTCATGCTGCGGGCCGGACCTAGAGACCAAAGATTGAATACATGCTCACCTCCCTAAAGACAAGCATCTGGGACTGATCATCACCTTGAGGAAGCCAGGAAGAGTCACTAAGCCAACCACTACCCACTACCGGCTAAACTGTTCTACATTCATGCCCACTTGCCACTTGACTCGCTTCCCCATTGGGTCCTGAATTTAACCAATTTTACCTGAGCAATGGTGCTTGTAATCTCATTGGTTGACCATAGTTTTGTCCCACCTCATGCCCACCAAAGCAAGTTCTCCACTTAGACATGCTTCACCACATGGTTTTACTCTATAAACATCTCTGGAAGAGACAGCTTCCCAGGGTAACCTGCTCACGTCTCCCTTCTGTCCCTCTCCTGGACAGCAGCTTTCTTTCCCTTAATAAATATATTCTGTTCTTAACCTCCGTTTGTTCCTAAAGTTCACTCTTCAGTTTTAAAGAACACAATCTGGTCCCAGGAGTCGCATTCCCCTATATCACCTTCAATACCATCTGGGACCTGAAGGGCAAGGAAGGGACCGATCTGGTCAAACACTGCCTTTCCAGTCCAGGGTTCCTTTCATGGTACTACACTGCCCCAGGCCCTGAGAGGGTCTGAGGTCCCCAGCCCTGTACAAGTGGGCCTAGCGAAGGCAGCACACAAGTGCAGGCTCTGCACTGTTCCAATCCAGGGTTCAGTCTGATACCCTAGAGGGTGCATTAAGAAGCGACGCATGTGAGTGTGTGCTTTTTGCCAACAAAGCCATCTTGCTCTGTCTGTCCACAGGTCCCTGGCCCTGGGCCAGCAGTATACATCTCTGGGCTCACAGCCCCTGCTCTGTGGCTCCATCCCAGGCCTGGTCCCCAAGCAGCTGCGCTTCTGCCGCAATTATATCGAGATAATGCCCAGCGTGGCTGAGGGCGTGAAGCTGGGTATCCAAGAGTGCCAGCACCAGTTCCGGGGCCGCCGCTGGAATTGCACCACTATAGACGACAGCCTGGCCATCTTTGGGCCTGTGCTCGACAAAGGTATGCCTCTGGTAAGGCGGGAGGTGGGGAAGAGAGGGGACAACAGAGTCAGGGCCTGCACCTTTCCTTTCTGATGCAGGATCCCTCCCTGGGAGGACCCTAAAACTGGTGATTATGGTCATCAGTGGCCTCAGTGGAGAGTGTGTCAGCCCTGAGATAAGGCAGGCTAGGATTTGAGGGCAGGCACCAGGAGCTCTTGGTCATCCTGGCTCACACAGTGGGCACCCAGGCTTTGATGTGGACGTTTGCAACATTTCCCCAATCTGTGCTGACCACTATGCAAATGCACTTGGGGTGCAGATGGGGGTAGGGGTTATGTGCCCTGGTCCTTCTGTCTGCAAAGTCCTCAGGAGCTGCCTGGTGCCAGTAGCGCTGTATCTAGACCCCCAAGAATTTTTGTTGGTCTCCATGCCTTGCCAACTGGATACACCCATACACTCTGGTGGGCACAGTGACCTCTGAGGAACTTCCCAGATGTCTTGCAGTCTGGCTATGTGACTGCTATGCCTTAAACGAGTCAAACAATCCTGATTTCATTTTGAATTTAGGGGCCCTGGGGGCCAGTCGAGATAGGCAATTGCTCCCAAGACGGGGACTTTGGGGGTCCTGGGTTCTGGACGGAACATGTGCGACTATTTGGGGGAACTGCAACGTCCAGGAATTTCACGACCCTACCCAGGCTTGTCTCCGCTGGAATTCTGCCGACTAAACCACCCAGCCTGGTATTCCCTCCTGTTAGAAAAGAGAATTAGCTGACAGGGTTGCATTTAGTAGTCAGAAAAAAGTGGGGCCTGAGACCGCCCCCCCCAGGTGGGGGGTGAGAGGTGAGGTGGGGAAGAGGGGACTACGCCTATTTTGGCGTGCAGCACCCCTTTACCTGTCCTCACAGCACAGGGTCCGTCAGACCTACAGCAAAATGCCGGCTATTGTCAGGAGACGGGAGGGCAATTAGCAAATCAATGCATGATGATTCTGTTTACGCATCTATTACCAAAGCTAATTATTCCTTGTTTACATAAAAGGTTTGGCCTCTAATTGGGGCCAGGTCGCGGCGGCTCGCATTTAAACTTGATCTCGCAGGCGTACCCGTCTCCTCGCCTTCCGGGGGCACCCTCCGGCCGGTAAGGCCCACCCCGGCGCCCGCGTCTGGCCGCGCTCCCGCCGCTCTCGCCGCCCCGCGCCTGGGCCGCGGAAGCGGGTCTGTGGCCGCGGTGCCGGCTCGCAGTGTGGCCCACGTTGGGAATCACCCGGCGGGTTCTGGCGTCGCTCTCCTTCTAAATGCAGGAGGCGGACTGACGCGGGGGGCGCAGGTCCGGACGGAGTCGGGCGCGGGTCCCTCGGCGGCGGCGGCGCACCGCGGCGGGGCGCGGCTC